GATTGGGGCCTGTACTTTGATCTCTAGTCTAGGGGTCAGCAAACTGCAGCTCACAGGCCAAATCTGGCCTGAGGCCTGTTTTTATGGCCTGAGAGCTAAGAATGACTTTTACATTTTTAAAGGGTTATAAAAAAACAAAAAAGAATATGCAACAGAAACCATATGTAGTCTGCAAAGTCTAATATATTTACTATCTGGCCTTACAAGCAAAGTTTGCAGATGAATAGAAACAAAACCTGGTCTTCTTTTTTTGTAAACATTAACAAACAAAGTTGATGTCTAATTATCTATGACACTCCCAGGATCTTACCCTTTAACAAAATGATGGGTAAACAAAAACGTCATAAAAGCACAAACGATCTGAAGACAGTTCCTATATTAACTCCCTGTCAAAGTATTTTTAAGCAGCCAGCCACAAGCCTATAGCATTCTTTATTCTGATACTAAATTTCCTCCATGTCGTCCTGAAGCACACGTACATGACTGACAAAACCACGTGCTATAAGCTTGGAGAAAACCCAAAACGTTAGTGTGTTCTAAAAGAAGAATTATTTCTACGAGTCATATCAAAAGACTAGATTTTTTTCCCACTTGGAGAGAAAACACTGTTTCTAGATCTTAAAAGTGATATCCTGTGGGCCTCGTCCCATTTCAACCTCTTTTCCAATCCATGAATCAGCTTTCCATTATAAATCACAATACCATTAAATGTATAACTCTCTGGCCTAAAAACAAGCTGAGAACTCTTTTCTGACTTGGTGGTTTATTTTGATCCCAAATGAATTTATTTTTTATATGCTTTACATTTCTAGTTTGACTAAAATAAAGTGAACCCATTAGTACCATCTTCCCTAGTATGCAGTGACAAACAACAATCATTTGGCTGGCAACACACTTTATCTCTTAATACTCTCTAAACATCTAAATTGGAGAGCTTTAAGACAAAAGGACTTTGTACCACATGCATTTTTTGGGCTTAGAGAAGGGCTTGATATACCACAGCGAGGTTTCATATCTAAGTTGATAAACCAAGTCTAAAACCTAATAGAGAAATCAACTTCTTCTTAGAACTATCTTACCTAAGCCATTTACCACCTGTTGAATTTGCCATATATGGGTAAAGCAGAAAACTTAGAATCAAAAATCTCATAAGGATTAGAGAATGCCTCCCAAAGAATACACACTGTGCACAGCTTTTTAGTAGGTAAATGTTTCAGCCTGAGAGAGTCCCTGGCTTTCTTGTGACCTCGGAATAGCACATAATACTTGTAAATCACTTTAAGAATTATACAACATACAGTTATTTATCAGTGACAGCAACAACAGCAAGGGAAACCATTAAGCAGGAAATGAAATAAAATTACAGGGCTGACACATCAAACCCTGTGGAAAGCCTGAGCCCTGGGACTAAATTTTATTGGCATGGCTTCTTGCAGAAATCCTGCAGAAGTCATGTTATAGATACAATCCAGACCTCTTAGCAGTGAGGATATTTCTGTTTCTATGCCTCATAGGCTCTGTAAGGAAGGCCCAGATGAGCTAAGCTCAGCTGCCCATAATAACAACTCGCATATAAAGCTGCTCATTATTTCCAAATTTGGGTTTCAGATTGGAAATCTCCACAGAAAAAGCAATCTGCCCTGATTTTCTAGGTCTCTTAAATTATTCCATCCACGTGATAAAGAAGATCTGTAGCCTTTTGGGCACCAGTTTTAGAATCAAAATGAAATACGAAAGTTTCTCTAAACCCAATCACTTGTTCATATAGCTTTTTCCAAAAAGACTTCCCTATCCTTATCTGAGGTCCCTCTGCATTGTGACTCCAATGGATTTAATCTAATATCAGAGACAACCAACAGATCCATCTGGGGCCCAACTCATAGTATATCTTGTGCTACTCTATAAAAGAACTCTGCCGGTCACTACGTAGATTCTTGTGCTGTAAGCAGGAAATAAATTTCATTCTGCAATTTGGGCTTTCCTTGTTTAGGAAGTGGGGACTAGAGTGTAAGATACAGTAACAACACACAAAAAGAATTAAGTAGGCTGAGGAGCTTTGTAATAACCAATAAGGTAAGCATGCACCTTCCTCATAGCATCCATTCATCTATTTCTTTAACCAAAATTTGTTGAAGGCTTATTTATTTGTTTGTTGAGTTTAAGAGAGATCACTGTAGAGTCCAGGCCACCGAACTCTCTCCTGAATTACTGCAGTAAACTTCTTCTACTACTGTCCTTTCCAATCTTTCACCATTCGAAATCCTGTGATCTTTCTATTGCACAGATCTGATTATGTGAGCCCCAGATTAAAACTTTTCAGTGCCTTTACAATGCACTTAATATAAAATCCCAAACAGCCCTATATAAGCTGACCCTTCCCAAACGCTCCAGCCTCCTTTTATGGCACTTTCTCCCTTACTCTCTACACTCGAGCTATATAGAACTTTTTTCACTTCCTCAAACTCACAATGCTAGTCTAATTTAGATGTGCCACCTCCATGCTCTCACAGTACCACATACATACTTTTACTATAACATTTATTTCACTTTACTGTCACTGGTTTGTTTGTCTTGCCTCACTAGTATGTAAGCTCCTCAGATGGCGCAGAGATCATACTTTATCTTTGCACTCCTCATTTCTAGCAGTGCCTGATTCCATAAATGTCTGTTGAGTGACTGACTGACCAAATAAAAGAAAATACAGAGGACAGAAGGAGGAGCAGCTAGGCTAGGAAAAGATAATGTTTGTTTTTAAATGTTTGAGGTGGTACTGGTTTAGTGGAATGGAAACAGGCAACAACTTAATAAAAATATCAGGTCTGCAGATAATGATTTTATCCAGTGACAGGACTTAGTGTTTAAATAATTTAATGAGGTCTTTTTTTAATGTCTAAAGTTGACAAGAATAGAGTTTTAAAACTAAATCTAAATTTCAGAAAGGCATATGAATCTGTGAGTAACAGAATGAAAAATGACAAAATAGCTTTAATTTATAATTCAAATATTCTTAACATATGTAAAATAATTTGATTATGCCATCATTCAGAGCATTATTAAACAAATTTGTATTATTGCGTTAGATTACTGGGGCCAAAGAAAGTAATTCTGTTGGCTCCTTATCAAACTTAAGAGACTAGGTGAAAAGAAGCTGATTCTTACCACATGTAATACACTTAAATTTTCATCTAATTTTTTCTGTGTGACTAAAAGTCTGCCCATTAGGCACTGGGTTAGATCTGAGAGTGTACAGGTGTTATTTTTAAACATTTTTTTATTACCGTTATGCTTTTTATTAATATTCTATGATTTTTAATAGACTGCTTTCTTAACTTTTATGACATATAAAATAAATATTTAAAACTGAATCTTGATCTTATGAGGACATCCCACCACTGCCACCACTCACACTTTCTTTTTCTAGACAATATCTCATGGGTGAGCCTGTGGCATACATGCATGTACACGCATGTACACACTTTAATTTCAATGTCCTTCTTGATGCCATTCTGGTAAGATTTAAAGGAAAAGTTCACCAGCATTAATTCTTTTTTTTACCATATACATGTATTATCTATACAATAAAATTTTTTGTGTGTGAGGAACAGTGGCCCTGAGCTAACTCTGTGTCAATCTTCCTCTACTTTGTATATGGGACGCCCCCACAGCATGGTTTGATGTGTGGTGTGTAGGTCCACGCCCGAGATCCAAACCCATGAACCCTGGGCAGCTGAAGCTGAGTGTGTGAATCCAACCACTACACCACTGGGCCAGCCCCTACAATAAATATTTTAAAAAGTAATCTCAGCCATCAATACAGCCAGAGGTAATTAGAAAAAATGTGCAAAAGCTATTAACATTTCTGGGATTGAGAATTTGTACTAAAAGAGCAAGTTTACAATGTGCATAATACCAAACAAAATTTCTATTTATTCTAATCATACAAAGTTAACTTTAAATTTTACACTATAATATATGTATTTAGTTGATTTTTTTTTTTTGGTGAGGAAGATTAGCCCTGAGCTAATATCTATTGCCAATCTTCCTCTTTTTGCTGAGGAAGATTGGCCCTGGGCTAACATCCATGCCCATCTTCCTCTACTTTATATGTGGGATGCCTGCCACAGCATGGCTTGATGAGTGGTGCGTAGGTCCATGCTCAGGATCGAAACCTGTGAACCCTGGGCCACCGAAGTGGAGCACACGAACTTAACCACTAGGCACCAGGCCAGCCCCTGTATTTAGTTGATTTTTAAGTCCAAGAATTAGAAGGCAGCTGTGCCAGAAAAAAAAAATTTTAATGATTTTTAAAAATTCTAATTATGGTAAAAAACACAAAACATAAAATTTACCATCTTAACCATTTTTAAGTTTACAGTTCAGTAGTGTTATATTCATATTACTGTGCAGCAGATCTCCAGCACTTTTTCATCTTGTAAAACTGAAACTTTATACTCATTGAACAACTCCCCATTTTCCCCTCCTCCTACTTTTTGCTTCTATGAATCTAACTACTTTAGATATCTCATATAAGTGGAATCATACAGTATGTCTTTTTGCGACTGGCTTATTTCACTTAGCATAATGTCCTCAAGATTCATCTATGTTGTAGCATGTGACAAGATTTCCTTCCTTTTTAAGGATGAATAATATTCCATGGATATACCACATTTCATTTATCTATTCATTCATTAATAGACATTTGGGTTGCTTCTACCTTTTGGCTACTGTGAATAATGCTGTGGTGAATATGGGTGTGCAAATATCTCTTTGAGATAGGAAAATTTTTTAAATCAATTTTATCCAATGACAGGTCTAGTGAGTGTTTCAAACTAAAGGTCTGCATTATGTTACTTATAAGCAGCAGAAGAAAAAAGTGTCAAAGACCAAAATGTGACAATGAAAAGGAATAAAAGACTAAAACAGCAGTTAAGTATACCGTATTTCCACTTACATACGAACAATGACTATTCATCTTAGATAGCAAAATGCAGTCTCCTTACCAGTAACTATTACACCATCATCTTTATAAGCTTCAGCCATTTCTTGAACATGGACTTCTGAGTTTACATCAACCTCTTTCCCTGATAACTGCAAATGAGCTTGAAGAGAAGACGCAACCTTGACGAGAATAGAGCCTGTAATAAATTTAAAGGAGAGCTTATTAATGCAAAGAAATCAAAAGTATCAGAGCCTATTATAAAAATGATTGAAAGGGTAGCATTGCTCCTGGTAAACTGTCTTTACTCTTCAGCATATTCTATTTAAATAGCTGTGCCTTTTCCTTACTCCCAGGTGGTCGACGTTTTCTTACTCCCAAGGCATTCATAGTAACTTCTGTCAACAGTATGAGTCATTAGGACATTATGAACTACTATTTCTTCTTTTGCCAATAGCCTTAGTCAGCTCATCTATACCAGAAAAGTGAGTAGTTTACTACACCTGTAGCTTGTAGACAGGATTTACCATTAATTGAGCATTTTCTAAGGGCCAGACATCTTAATTACACTATCTTTTAAAATATCCGTATCAACTTTATGAGGTATTGTTATAATCTCGACCTGACAGATGAGAACTTGCTCAAGTTCCCACTGGAGCTAGTATTGGAATCTAGATCCGGTTCAATGACAACAAAGCCCATGATCTTAACCACTGTGGTATTTCACATACTGCTACCTCGTCATATTACAGGACATAAGTATTAGAACACAGCTAGAACCCTGAGCTCTTGTGCTTTCAGTTGTACCTTGGGTGGGTGTGTATTGGGGAGAATAACAATAAAAAAAGGAATATTTTAATTTCAACTGACTAATGTTTCTTTTCAATGGATTACAGTCTTTTTGGTACCTGAGGCAAGACATTCAACTTTATTTCCACTACAATCTTGTGGTAATTCAAGCTTCTAAAGGAGGAAATAAGAAGTACTCTGTTAGCTAATGATTTTTCAAAACAATTACATGGGTTGCAATGTAAACTCACCAGCACACTCCTGTTTCAGAAGCTTTTCTTTTTCTGTTTCTCATGTATCAAATAAAGTAAGTAAGAGGCCTCAGCCATAAACCATTAACCCCAATTCTGTGGACAACGACGGTCAGGATAACAGTCATTGTGAATGTTGTACAGATTCCTTTTAGAACGCATTTATTTATGGGTCACTGTTTGCCTTCTGGTTTGGTTAACATCAGCTTAAGTTTCCCTAAGTAATTTCGTATCTTCTCAGCCTTCCTAACTGGAGCTGGAAGTTTGCGGTAAGACTGATGAACTCGCATATTTACGCCTCAAAACAGGGGAGAACAAAGCACATCACTACAAGTAATTTATTTTATTTAAAAACCAAATTGCTTTCAGGGTTTAAGTGTAAACTACTGACAGGAGATTCCCCAAAACAATAGATATGAGGGCTTTAGGAAAAAACAAAACAAAAACAATCCTGGAAAATTTCAGGATGAATAGAAGATACATGTTTTTTCTACCAAACATACTTTAAAAAGTAGAAAATAATAGATTTAAAAAACTTTTTTCTAGAACTTTATATCTCTAAATACATCAAATGTGATAATTTTATGAACACTTTTTTCTGTTCTTAAATAAATAAAGGAACCTTAAATCTGTTAGAGCTTTAAAAGCGTTAAGCAACGCAAATAGTTCTATCCTAATCTCTCTCCATACCCTTAAAAAACACAAAAACCATTACTACCAAAACTCCATTACTCTTTGTGAATGAAGAATTCTCATGACTTGAAAACTTTCCCAAATGTCCCACCTTTAACACTATTCTTTTTTAGAAAGGAGAGCTGCTGTTGTATCTTCAACCTCTTGTCACTTCATGAACTGCTTCATGGTTATTGACATCAATACTATATTTTTAATTAAAAAGTGAACTAATACAGTACCATTTATTGAAGACATACTATATATTAAGATTAGTGGTTTTATCAAGGACAAATTTTAAGTGGAAAAGTCAGTACTCAGATGCTGGTCTGACTCTCAAGCCTAAATACAGCCTTTCGGAATGAATTAATAAGGTCACCACATTAACTTTCATAGGATAAGTGAAAACAAGCATTGTAACATTCATTTTCACATGGCAAAATGGAGAAGACCTAAGAGACTCAAATGGCTGGCTCTTGAAACCTACAGCAAGACAGTGGCAGAGCTGGAATGGATTTCAGGTGTCTTTACTAACCATTAAGCAACAGAATCCTGAATAACTGTCCATTACTCTAAAAAGTTACTGTTCCCAAGTGCAGTGAGAATTAAGAGACCTGAAATAAGACAGAAATCTCTGTTTCCAGTTATCTTTAAGCATCTGCCAGTAACATGGCCCCAGTAGGAGAAAACACAAAATTGTAATCCTAATCAAATTTTGCAACATCATATGCTATGTCCACAGGTTACTGGAACAACATTCTAAATAACACTCAAAAATATTTTAAGTAGATAAAGATTAACAATGTTTTTTGTTTGTTTTACTTTCTTGCCCATCCATACAAAATAGGAAATAACTTTCATGTAAGAGCTGCTTATTCAAAACTTCATTTTCACTCTGTTATTAGTGACATTAAATATTGTAATGGTTTACTTTTTTTCTCCTTGGGTGTTTGTAATAAGAGAATGCAATTATATGACTTTTATGGCATTTACAAAATACTCTGAATAGTATTACGGAAGCTCTTAGAAATTTAGTGAAAACATGATATTATCTTAGTTTAAAGGGAAAAAAAGTGACCCTGAAAAATCAAATCACACCTGTGTGTCAGTAATAACTTCAGCTTCAGACCCCTATGTTTTGTAGTTTTATTCTGACACTCTGACAAGGGAGCCTCACTGGACAAAAAGGTATTAACCCAACATGGCAAAGAAATTACTAACAGCAGGAATAATTGGTCTCTGTAAGGAAGTATTTTCCTTGTTAAACACATAGCCCTGTTCTGGCCAATATGCAAGAGCTTCTAGACTTTATTAAAAAAATTTTTTATACAGAGATACAGGTTCTTAACTTTCTGTATCTGTACCCAAGCCACTTCAACCCCTACAGCCAAGCTACTCCAAGTAGCCAAGCCACTGGCCACCATGCACGTGTGCATGTACGTACACACATGCACACACAGACTCATATTCAGTCTTCAGACGACTAAAAAAGTGTATCATTTTTAATGCAAGACTTGGACTCAGAATAAATTATTTGTACTAGAAATAAGATTATTGAAAGAGATACATCATAAGTCTTTGATACTTCAAGAGACTAAGTCAATAACCACTTTAGAGAACCTTCCTGGTGATATCTTTATTTCAGGATCACACTTTGAAAAGTATTACTCAGAGTGATGAGTGACGGCCTGAGAAGGTCCTCTTACAGGCTGGTCGGAAAGTTTCCAAAAGAACGTATGGGAACATTTTCCTCCAAAGAATATTCTATTTCAGACATAAAACTAAACTGAAAAACCCAAACACTAACACTAAAAAATTCCACGATAACAGTCAATATATTACAACCTTTTTGTTTGCACTACAAAGAGCAAAATCGTCTTCATAGCCATCTGTCCCAAAAGTTTCAAAGATCATTGGTCTAGAGGACTAGTATTCTAGTCTTTAAATCAAGTTCTATCAGAAGAAATTTTCTTGAAATCACTATGTCAGTATGGATAAGATAATTTGACCATCTGTTTCCTGAATGTTATATAAGATCTTCCCTACACCATATGTCAAAATAAAACATTCCACTTGGCTAACCTTTATGGGCTTTCAATTCCACTTTCCCCAGCTGGCTGACATAAATATCTATGGCACCTTGATGAGTTGAGGCTGTTAGACATCCAGAGGACGAATCTATGAGGAAGGAAAAATCATAAGCATCATCGTTCTTATTTCAGTAACTGGAATTATAAACTTGAAATAAAAGGCTCCACTTCAGTATTAGGATAAGGAGCTAAGAGTCTTGCAAGGTTTTGTATATTCCTTATAACTATGCCATCTTTTGCTTTAAAATGAAAACAGAATTAGAAATCTAGAAATCTACCTAGACAGCTAATAAAAAATCCCTATGTCTATAGTACCCTGCATAATTTATCTCTAAACATGTTTACTCTAATACCTAATGTTTGGAAGGACAGTACACAAGCAATGGATTCTTGACAGCCAAGACCATTAAGTATCATTGATATATTTAGTTTATTATCAACTTTCAACATTTACCAAAGAATTCTATCTCATGTACAGTCACATATAAATAGTAGCAAAGTTAACAAAAATCAAAACCTCTTATATTTTCTCCTTTTAGCAAATTTGCTAGTACTAAAAAGTGCTGCTAATAGGGAAAAATTACTAGATAAGGTTTTGTTGCATTTCTTAGAGGGACAGAAATGGGGGGGAGGAATCATTTGAAGAGTAGGTGATGTTTGTTTATATGTAAATATTTCTTTTCAAGTTTCTGGAATTGAACCGATATCTTTAAATCAGGGAAAGAAAATCACAATTAAGATGGTCCTGATTTGACACTAAAATTTTCCTATGTCGTCATTGATCCCAGTTGTCAATTAGCCAACATTTCTTTTTTTTTTTTTTATTAATTTATTTATTTATTTTTTCCCCCCCAAAGCCCCAGTAGATAGTTGTATGTCATAGCTGCACATCCTTCTAGTTGCTGTATGTGGGACGCGGCCTGAGCATGGCTGGAGAAGTGGTGCGTCGGTGCGCGCCCGGGATCCGAACCCGGGCTGCCAGCAGCAGAGCGCACGCACTTAACCGCTAAGCCACGGGGCCGGCCCTGCCAACATTTCAAGTTCAAGGGAAAGTTGACAGAATCAGAGATACAGAAGTAAGAGAATGATGTTGAAGAGTCAGTGCTAAGTAGCTTCTCCTTCTTCCTCCTCTCTCATAGCAACTGAACCTTTAATTTAATATTCTATCTGACTGCCCTGAGAAAGCATATTTTATCAGGAGCTTTTATTACTTCAAAGTGGAAAAAAGTAGGGAGTATGGTGAAAATAATGCCAAAAATTATATTATACTTTTTATAAAATGTGGAGAGAAAACATCTGTATTATCACAAAGAAGCCAATATTTTTCTTTAAAATAAATTTTAAATGACTCCAAACAAAGACAACAAGTTGGTAAAAACTGTTTAAAACCTGACTCCAAGATAATTTGTAACATTTTATCTCTAATCTATACTGAAACATGTCCTTTATCAGACCAAATTTAATTTTTAAGTGTCAAAAGTAAACACTGATGCTGAGAAATTAAGCCACTAGAGATAAATGACAGGGAACAGCTGGATAAAGATGAATATTTCTCTTCTCAGATACCAACAGAAACTCCTTTTAAAACCTCTTACTGCATCCTAAAAGAAGCCAAGTAAAAATATATTATGGTAAAAAAAATGTAGACTACACAATGTGTATATTATCCCAGGTTGAACAAAGTAAAATATTTGAAACATTAGTTTGATTTCTTGCTTTCTCTAGGGGAAAAAAAAACACAAGATTTTTGTGTGGCTCATAAACAATACTTTTCACTTCTTTTTTTCCCTCAAATGGGAAATAAACAACAGCTAAATAATTATATCCTAAGCCACTAAGTAATTACATCCTCATGTTAACAGTCTTGAACTCTGATAATGGCCCATCTTTTGGAGGCTGACAAAAAAAACACAATTAAAACTCAAGATGTGCTTTCAAAAGAGAAAGCAAAAGTGATATTTAAAAAGCTATGTAGCAAAACAACCAATGATTTTCTTTTGTTTTCTGTAATACAAATGGAACTAAAAATTAATTATCAAGAGTCAAATTAAGGCTTCATCCACAGAATTTCATTTTTTGGAGAGTCACATAATAGAGAAATTCTACAGCTCTTGGGGGAAAACTTAAGGGAAATACGCATTAGAGGGTGATTAAGAAGTGAACAGAAATTGTTAGTCCAGACAGTGGACTCATAGAGAGTCTTCTATCATCACAATTTTGGACAAAGATCTTGATGGTCTGACAGAGACCACTGAGTTTTCATGGAAAATTACACATACAAAATTACACATACAAAAGGGAAAAACTGACGTCAACTACCAGGTAACACTACCTACAACCAAGGAAATAGATATTTGTAATATATAAATATATATACAGAGAATAGTAAGTAAGCTTGAAAGGCTAAAATTCCAAACTTTGCTATTTTCTTTCAGATAAAGGGAGAATTCTCTCAAAATTGGTCAAGTATGTTCAGAAAATTCTTCTGAATTTTTATAATTTTACCTCAAGTTTCAACACGTAGATAGTAAGGAACAGCAACACAAAAAATATTTCTCGACTTCTGCAACTTGATTGCTACACTTCCAAAGCTATACTAATTGCAAAAACAAGGAACAAATTTTATATATAGGACATAAAGGATTTGCAAAGGCAGAATTTTAAGGTCACTTCGAGTAAAGTTTTCTAAATTAATGTCCTGCCTAGGTATTCTGTATTAGTGAGGGAGCATATAGGAGGCTGGGCTTATGAGAGATACACAAGGCAAAGAGCCCCTTACTCCCACCCCCCCAAAACATGAAGATGTTCTTTTTAAAGATATAATTACCAGTACACAGCTTCCAGTAGTGCCTTCCAAAAGAGACAACAGGGCAAACAAAGTAAAGCTAGGTGAGCAATTCTATTAGCACTCCTATCCCACCATTAACTACTATCAAGTTCTGCTTTCTCCTGTTGACTAGTTTTAAATGGAAGATGACCTGGTGTTCCAGAAGAAACATGTATTTTTAAAACTATGAGTCCAAGAAAAATCAGAGTTTTGATATACATATAATCAAATTTTTTATAGCACTTCAGCTTCTGAGAGAGCTCTGTATTAAGGAAAGTAGGAAGAAAGGGTTTTGGGAGGTAGGTTAGAATGTGTATACAAAACCCAAACGACTGATGAGATTACTTAAGAAGCTGATCAATAATATTATCTAAACTAGAAATAAAGGACCTTAATTACATATATTCTTCTCAATAAAGGAATCATGGAGAAGACAGTCTATTTTCCTGAAATCAGATAGGATAACACCTAAATCATCTCAAGTCTCTTAATATTCCAATTTGATAATATTATATAACCTTTTCTCAACACCTGTTCCAATATTTTGAAGCCTCTGCTATTCTAACAAATTTCCCTCTCAGATTCCTACAAATCACTTTTTGTTTCTTTGTAACTGTTTTGCTTCTACTAATTTCAATTCCTCAAAATCCAAGTTACTCAACAGACTTTAATTAGGTTGTCAAGATTTGTAGAGCTGCCTTCAACTTTCTCCAGCAAATCTTTTGCTTTAAGGAAAACACAACCCAACCAATTAAGAAATTTCAAACAAACATTACCCACTTGTCACCTTTGGGATTAAGGCATCAAATCCAAAATTTCTCCAGAATCATAATAATGGTTTTTAGGCTCTACAGCAGGGTTGGCAAACTACAACCCACCTCTCGTTTTAATTAATAAAGTTTTATTGGAACAAAGACACATCCATTTGTTTGTGAATTATCAATGGCTGCTTTTGTGTTAAAATGACAGAGTTGCATAGTATAGATAGACCATTTGGCCCACAAAGCCAAAAATATTTACTATTTGGCCCTTTATAGACCATGTCTGCTGACTGTTAGAGCAAAACAGTTTGTTTTGAGGAAATGAGTGTGTTTCCCCAAAAAACAAAATGTAAAATTTGATTTTATTTAAGACAAAGAGATTTACCAAATTACCAAAACCATCTCTCTTTCTAAGGCCTCAGTAATATGCATATAAGTATAAAATTTTTGCTTATAGAAATGAAAAAATTGTTGCCTCAAGGCAGTTCTAACTTTTCATTGACCCGATTGTTCACCATTTTCTAGGGGTAATGAAGTTGCTTCCACCAAATTTATTAAAGTGAGAAATAAGACATCACCAAGTAGATAACTAGGACTTTGCTGACTTGCTTAAAGATGGTGTCACAACTTCTTTTGTTTAACCTCTTAAGCTATATGTTCCTATTGAACAAAACGTTAGCAATATTTGTTTGCTCATAAAGGTGCATAAGTGGCTTCTTCAAAAATGGTATGGCATCTCCTGCTCTGGCTGTCAGTAGAAATGGGATGTATTCCACAAATCAGTGACTTTTAGGTCCAGATATATTCAAAGGAAGAAGCCTATATAACAAGACCCAAACAGCTTTGATTTCTATATAAGTTTTGGATAATTTTTGCCATGCTCTCCTCTGTCCTCCTGTCCCATTCTCCTTCCCTCCTTTCTTTTTCTGATTTAATACTGACTATAAAAATATACACAGTATATTTTGAAATAACAATTGTTATGAGAGGTTCGGGGATTTGATCGGAGACGTAAAAGACACTTTCCACTCCAAACAAATGGACTGAAGGTATATTTTATTATATAGAGGATAGTAAAGGCGACAGTCTGCAAACAGATCCAAATAGGTCAAATATTAAGAGGGAAAAAACATCACCCCAACGGAAAAGGAAAACACCCACATCGGCTGAAGAGAAATGACACAAATCAACCGGAAAGAGAAACACCAGGTTGACCGAAAAGAGAACACATCAAATCACTTACTACACATCAAATCAATTACTTCACATCAAATCAGTTACTCACAACATCCACGCCCCACTGCCGGGAGAGCCCTGTCAATCAATGCGGCTGGGCAAGGATCACTCGTCCTGGGCAAGGCGTCCCTTCCACAGGTGGAACTCTCACCGGGTCTCAGTTTCCAGCAGTTTTTATACCATCAGTAATTTTCAGAGTAAGCAATTACAGAGTTTGCAGAGCAAGCATTTAGTGTTTCCATGCACAAAATGGTTATCAGTGGC